AAAGAGTAATGAGATAGGTAATAAATTGAGAATATTTCTTCATAGTTTTCTCTATTCTTCTTTCTTCTAAATACTCAATTTGGCTCTCTTTCAGATGCAGAATAACCTTTGTTACATGACCAATGGGTTCACCTATGTCAGTCCTAATAGTGGATGATTCCCCTACAGAGGACTCCCAGATATACTGCTCATCATTTTTGTTTGGTGACCACAGTCACTTTCTTAGTCACCAAAAATGCCATTGCCCCAGGTGGGTGATTGCTCTCTCTCTCTGTCTCTCTCTTGCTCTCTTTCTCTCTCTCTCTCTCGGGAGTGGATGGGCATTATAACAAAAAACTTAAAAAAAAAAAAAGAATAAAATCCAATACCAAACTGGCCAATCAGAGATTTCTACACCAGTCCACAAAGCTTCCATGAATGCTTTGGTCCCCAATTTGGCAGTAGTGCCAAGGTTATTGATCAAGTCAGCCTTGGTCATTCCAATTTCTTTCTTTCTTTTTTCTTTTTCTTTCTTCCTTTTTCTTTTCTTCTTTTTTCTTTTCTTTTCTCTTTTCTATTCTTTTCTTTTCTTTTTCTTTCTTTCTTCTTGTCGAGGTTGTGACTGTGTGCACTCACCAGAAAGACAGAGAGAAACAGAAAGTGAGAAATCACCCCCCCCAGGGGGGATAGCCACACCGCAGTCCCTTGTCCTCCATTCTCCTCTCAGGATCTTGGGCACGCACGCAAATGCACCTGGCGTGAGTTTAAGCCACCAGGTCCAGGACTCGAACCGTGGTTGACTACATGGGAGTCCAGCGACACAGCCATTATGCTAACTGCTGGTCCCTTTCCTCCATTAATTTATAAACACCCCGAAAACAAGGACTAACTAATTCCTCTGGGTATCCATGATGGAGAGTATCATAAAGCATGGTCTGAGGACCTTTTGCTTCAGAGTTAGATGGGAGTAATTAATTATAACTCTAGACTAAATGAGTCAGAGTCATTAGGTTTGGGACCCAAGCATTTGTATGTTTAACAAACTCCTGACAGTTCACAAAGTCCCCAGGTGCTTCTTTTGCACTTTCAGTCTTGAGAACCACTGCTCCAGAGAGCCATGAAACTCATGCCTGGTTGTGTCTTGCCATCTTGTGTACTTGTAAAGATGCAGATTCATGGGCCCTCCCCAGACCGAAGTATTTGAACCTCCCCAGTCAGTAGGTTTGGAACCTCTCCAGATGATTCTGGTCATTGACTCTCTCTATTTGCTGTTCTCCCTGATTACCTGTTGAGTTTTTTGTTTGTTTGTTTTAAGGTCTTTGCCATAGGGTGTGTGTGCTTGATGGAGGGAGACAGAGAGAAAGTGAGATATCACCCCCCAGAGGAGATGGCCACACCACAGTCCATTCTCCTTTTGGGGTTTTAGGTACACATGCACACATGCCTGGTGTGATTTTCAAGCCACCAAGTCTGGGACTTGTAACCATGGTCAACCATGTAGGAGTCCAGTGCCTTAACCACCATGCCAACTGCTGTGCCACATCTGTTTCCACCCTGTGGAATTTTAAAAATCTATGCTGCTAGGCCTCATTCTCTGAGGTTTGAGTCCATAGATATGGGAGGGTCTTAAGCATTATGTTCAAAAAGTTCACCAGATGATTGAAATATGTAGTCAGGGTTGAGAGGCACTGTTCTAAATGTCCTTATTTAGAGCACCTGCTTGTTCTCATGTTTGTGTTTCTTGCCCACACGACCATGCCAGACAAAACAGTTAAAGTGAATGGTGTTACCAGTCATAATGGCTTCCGTGCCAAAATATTTTATAGTGTCTTTTTTTAAAGAATTATTTATTTAATTTTATTTATTTATTCATTTATTTTAATTTGACCAGAGAGAGACACAGAGAGAAAGAGAAGGAGGGATCGTGAGAAAGCAAGCCACCAGGTCCAGGACTCGAACCATGTCAGCCATATGGGAGTGTCCAGTGCCTTAACCACCACACCACCTGCTGGTCCCAATAGCTAGTGTCTTTAAACGTTCACACAAGTTACTACTTGTAGATTAGAACTTCCTTGAAAGAATTTTGACAGTCCTCTTAAAAACAGGAGGGACCAGCAGATGGCATAATGGTTATATCACCGGACTCCTACATAGTCAATTGCGATTCAAGTCCTAGATCCAGCAGCTTAAAATTCACGCTGGACACAAGTGCATGTATGCCCAAGATCTTTACAGGAAAATGGAGAAGGGACTGCAGCATGGCCATCTCTCCTGAGAGGTGATTTCTTACTTTCTGTCTGTCTCTGTCTCTCTGCTGAGAACACAAGCCCTATAGCAAAAATATGCTTAAAAAATTTACAGGAGCAAGTGAGGTATGCTATTGTATTGGGGGTACAGCAAACTACTAGATTAACTTTGGTGGTTTCTCGTAGACAGAAGTGGCCCGAGACATTCTTCAGAATATGTCAATGGCCATTAAACATTTTTCTGTGAATAAAGTCATAACCATAAAACAATACATTTATGAATCAGCCTAAAATTATTCACTGAGCACAAGGCAAGTTTGTACAGTAGCAAAATAAATAGACTCTGCACTGTCCTCTAGGAAGTAGAATGGTAAACAGAAACTATTCTCACAAACAAAATGGCATACAGCTGATTCCATATGATTGCTTTCCAAAGCTGGCTGGCTGTCAGAAACCTGGGAGAGTTTTTAAACTATAGCTTCTCAGGCCCCACCCAGACTGAATGGAAGTCCACAGGTGAGGCTGAGTGTTTCTTTGCCACCATGTAACCCATTGCTGAGTTGTCTCTTAACGCTTGAGATTTCATAATTCCATATTTTCTGTCCAGCCATATGTGCTCGTGACAATGTAGCATGGATGTCACCAACTGGTGACATCTAGAAAATTATTCCCACTTTTTTTCTAATTCATAATAGAGCATGAGCAAGTATGAGAGAGAGGTTTTTTTTGGGAAAGAGAGAGAGACACCCTGTGTAGAATCTGGCCATGCCATGATCCCCTTCCTTCAGTCTTCCAACCTGTCAGATCTTGCATTTGCACATGTGCCCAGTGTGTTTCAGGCCATGTAGGCTGAGGACTCAGACCACGGTTGCCATGTGGGGTATGGCTTCTTTTGAGCAGCATTTATAGAACCAGCACTATAGAACCAGACCAATCCTTACTTTTATCAGTAATCTCGTGATTTATCTGCTTGATTTTACTGCTTCTGGGTACCTTATTACCAGTTCTGTGAGACAGGAGAGGCAAGCAGTCAAGTTTGCTGCTTGTAAAGGGAGATACTAGGCTGCACCAATGGCTAAAATGTGGTGCTTAGAGCTGCTACTGGGGCAAAGGAAGAGACAAAATGGCAACATGTAGCCTCAGGATGGAATTGGGGAGAACATTCATTCCACAAATATTTTTTTTTTTGGAGAGGTTTTTGCTATAGGGCACGTGCGCTCGCCAGACAGAGAGAGACATAGAGACAGAAAGTGAGAAATCACCCCCCGGGGGGATGGTCACGCCGCAATCCCTTCTCCTCCATTCTCCTCTCGGGATCTTGGGCACGCATGCACACGCGCCCGGCGTGAGTTTTAAGCCACCGGGTCCGGGACACGAACCGCGGTTGACTACGTGGGAGTCCAGCGCCTTAGCCATTACGCTAGCTGCTGGTTCCCTCCACAAATATTTATTGAGAATCTAATTGAAGATACTACAATGAAAGTACAGAGGCCCAAGATACACAGATGAAAGGACACCTGAGTCTAATGGATGGACTTAAAATTGTGTAAAATATTGTGATAAGTGCATGCTAAAGGGATGCATGGAATAGAGTGGGAACCAAGGAAGGAGGTGTTGGGAGTGAAGAAAGGTTTTCCTGGGCTCAAGCTTATGTAGTGACTTGAGGTGTTTAATTAAGCAGGTATGTAATGGAGGGAATGAAATGCTAGTTTTTAGTTTTCAGAAAGCACAGCCATGTGAACTGGAACAGTGTGTGATGGCAGAGGAATGGCAAATCATTTGGTTTTGTTGTATCAGAGGGTGTGTGAAGTGGGAAATAGAGCTGGAGGAGGAGGGGCCAAATCATGGAGGGCCTTGTGTGCTGCTTAGGAACTTAAGGTTTTTTTTTTTTAAGACAATGGGGAAGCACTGAACAGTTTTGATCAGGGAAGTCATTCTATAACTGTGTGAGCTATATACTGAGGAAACAACCAGCAAGCTGTTGCTGTAGTTTAAGGAAATTGGTGAAGGTTTCAAGTAGACCAGAAGCAGAGGAGCTAGGTTAGCCCTTTGCTGTACTTGCTGAGAGCTGCCAGATTATATAAAACTCAGCTATGCCATCATACCCCTTCATTTATTTAATAAGCATCAGTGGAGAGTGTCCTATGCCAGAAACGGTACTGGCTTCTATGATTGATTGACTAGTAATTAGCTGGGTTTTCACAGCTAACATAGTAGCTTCCTAAAATTCTGTGCAACTGATATTTGAAATGTTAAGGTATTACCCTGAGATCTGGTATTACAGTTGCACCTATGAGTCCATAGGAGACATAAGCCAGTGTCTAATGCTCTTGGTTTCTCTACGCTGACATTTCTCAAGTTCCAATTCTCTGTATGAGCTGTCACAGAGTTTCATTTTATTAAGCTTTTTAATTATTCCATTCTTGTCTCTCTTATCTAAACCAAGTTCCACTTTAATTTAGCTCAGAAACTAGACAACATTTCAAACATACTATCCTTCATAATTTACTACACATTTTGAGCTCATTCATACTGACACTATGAGAGGACTTTGGATTAGGATATCTTGTAAAGGGAGCAAGTAACAGACATTACATCAATAGGCTGATTACACCTGAGGGGGTGAAGGGGAGAGACTGTTTGTTGGGATGTGTTTATCCTCAAAAAGAGGTAAACTGAGGGCCATGAGGTAATGCTAGGAAGGAATGATTATTTCATTGGACCCTGGGGTCCATAGGACATATAAACCAGTATCTAATGCTCTTAGTTTCTTACGTCTTTGGAAGGTCTCTACAAGGACAGTTTTACCGGAGTTGTCCAAGCCAACGACAATGATGGTTATGTGTCTGGAAATGGAAAAGAAAAATAAGCCAAAGCATTAAAAACACTGTTAGTTTTTAGGCTAAACAAATACTTCTACTCTTCTTAAGCACTGGGAGTTCTACCTGTAGTAGTCTCCATGTATGGTCCAGCTAAGGTGGTAGAAAGTGGATTGGGAACCTTTCCCCAAATCCCCCAAGGATGCTTTTCTTCCTGATTCATTTATGATGAAGAATTGGCCATCCTCCATTAACCCTGCCCTTTATCTTTCAGACCGTGCTTAATCATTTCCCCTAAGAATACACAAGATCTTCAGAAAAATCTATGGAAAATGCATATCATGAAAAAAACTGTCCATGAATTAATTTTTTTGCTCAAAATATACTTGTTTTTTAATTCTATTTTTCAACAAATTTTTGACAACCTCTCATGCAATCATGAAGATTTGTCCCTTAGGAGACTGGGTAGAAACATGGAAGGAAATGATGGTATAGGTCTAGAGAAATAATTGTAATATTACCTTCGTTTCTCTTCAGTTGTCTTTACCCTAGACCAGCAAGAAGTCAGTAGCCGGAACATGATTCAACTTTGTTCTTAAATATTAAAAGAAGACAGTAAATGAGAAAATAGCCCATTATTAACATTGTTCCTAAGTCAGCTTATGATTATATAGTAGTTTCTGTTAAACCAAAAGCTTGGGACTGTTAGAAGTCCATTACTTCATTCTATCCAACCTTGTTTATAAATGTCACAGAGGAAGAGACTAGTTATCTTCAAATACAGTGGCAGGAGAGAGAGAGAGAGGGGGAGAGGGAAAGGCACCCCAACAGGGACTTCATGCTGTGATCCACCTCCATCAGAGGCAGCTGGGATCACAGGCACACACACTTCCCAATGTACTCAGGGATGTCCCAGGACACAAACCCAGTACCTTTCCCATGTAGGTCCAGTTGTGGTGGGGTAGCTACCTGGCCACCCACTTCCAGAGTTCTTATAAAGTAAAATGAAGATGATGATATATTTTACTTACCTTGAGGTGGGTAATTATTTATCTAAGAAGTTGCCTCTTTTCAGATGAAAAATATAAGATGTTTAGAGCAAAAAGGAAGGTTCATTAAGCTCGAACCTTTCTTCTAGATGGCCACAGCTCAACTGCTCACTTAGGATATGGCAACATCCTAACAATGTCTATGAAGATTCTGATGTATCTATGGCAACCACTGTTTGGGTCATAGCAATCTAACTCACATATCCTTGCCTTGTATGATCTTAGCTAATTACTAAGTGAACTTTTAGCCTTCATAGTTTTTACATATTTTTATGACTTTATACATATTCACTCATTTAATCCTATTTACAACATGACAAAGTAGAGACTGTTATCCCAATTAATTTAAGAGATGAGGTCTGCAAAGAGGTGAAACTCAGAAAGTGCTAAGTGATAAAGCCAAGTTCAAACCTAGGTAGTCTGGCTTCAGGGTCTGTGTATTAGGTCAAAGGTTTCATACATTCTGTGAGTGAGAAGACCTCAGGTGCCAAAGAAACTACCTCTACTCTGGGCTTCTCTCTCTTCTGGCCAAACTATATCATACTATTTTTTATTTTTTAGTGATCTTTTTAGAAAATCTATTTTAGAATGGTTTTAGATACACAGAAAAATTGCAAAGATAGTACCAAATATCCCCATCTTTTCCACACTCAAATCTTACATTAGTATGATGCATTTATTACAATTAATGAACTAGTATTGAGATGTTATTAACTGAAGTCTGTACATCATTCAGATTTCCTTAGTTCTTACCTAGGTTGCTCAGACTTTCTTTGTTTTTTGATAACCTTGAAAGGAATACTAATTATTTTGTAGAATGCCTCTCACTTGGTGTTTGATATTTTCTCATGACTAAACTGAATTTATGTGTTCTTAGGAGGAAGACCAGAGATCATGTGTCATTCTCATCATATCTTATCAAGGATGTATGCTAATGGGATTATTTATCACTCATGATTTTAACATTCATCATTTTGCTGAGGCAGTGTTTATTGGGTTTCTCTACAATAAAGTTACTTCTGCACCCTCTCACCATACTGTATTTTTGGGAAGGAAATTACTATGCATGGCCCTTGAGAAATTGGGAATTATCCTCCATTCTTTGAGGTAGAATAGCTATGTAAACTATTATATTTGGAACCCTCTATATGGGGCCTTTATTGTTACTCATTTGTTTATTAAAGCATTTATTTTTACATTATGACTTTTGGTTATTTATTTTATACTTTGAGTTATAATCCAATACTACTTTATTTTCTTGTTCAAATTATTCCATCTTAGGTCTTAGAAGTTCTTTATTTTTTAAGAATTATTTAATTTTATTTATCATTATTGTTATTTTTTAATTTGATACAGGCACTCACCAGGAAGATGGGCGAGGGGAGTGAGAAAAGAAGCTGGCAAGTCCGGAACTCGAACTGTGATCAGCCATGTGGGAATCCAGCACTCCAGCTACCACTTCACCTGCTGACCCCGGGAGTTCTTTCAGTTCTTTCATCATTGTGGGTTGTTTTTGTGTTGATTTTTGAACATTTTTTATTTTTTGGTACAAGATACTTCAGGTTCATCTTCTATATTCCCTGCCCTAGTCCTAGACTCACCATTTCTCCAAGGAACCCTTGATCCTTTCACTGGAGAATGGTCTTAGAAACCTACATCTGAGAACTAGGTGTGCTTGTTGATACTGGAGTGTCATTGTTTCTAGGCCCTCTCAGGTGACAGAACAAGGAAATATATGTGTCTATGCACACATTTGAAAATATTTATGTAACCACATGTATCTATGTTGGGCTAAACATGAAATCATACTGATGTCTTTTACCCTAATCCATCATCATGTGGATCATTCTAGTCTCCCTTTGCTTGGCTGTAACCTTTTGCTCCAATAGTGAGAAACCTGTCTTCTATCATTCACTATCCATTTTCTTCATTGTTCAATTCCAGTATACACGTATAGCAGTATCAGATTTGTTAACCCATATACTTGCCCTTGGAAACAACTTGACCAGCTAGAATACAGTGCTGTGTGGAGTTCTTTTGCCTTTACTTTAGATAGTCTTATAGATTTCACTCATTTTAAAAGTTTCTTACATCAGCTTACATACTCTACCCCTTTTGGTAAGATTATTTCATACATTTATAGTGTACATTCTGTGATAATAAAAATTTCCTTCATTCATGATAGAGTATGTACATATATGCTAGGTAGAGATAGAGAGATTAGCACCTTCCATGGGGTTTTGTCATGCTACAATCCCCTCCTTCCAGTCCTTCAGTCCATTGGCTCTTGGGCACTTATGAATGTGCCTGACATATTTCAGACTAACTGGGCTGGGGATTCAAACCACAGTCACCATGTGGAATCCAGCTTCTCTCTAGCATTACATTACTACTGCACCATGGAGCCGGCCCTGTGATGGTTAATTTTGTGTGTCAACTTGACTAAACCACAGAATGCTCAGATATTTGGTCAGAATAATTCTGGATGTTTTTATGAGAGTAGTTTTGGGCAAGATTAACATTTAAATCAATAGACTGAGTAAAGCAGATTGCCCTCCCTAACGCTGAATATGTCTCATCTAATTTGTTGAAGGCCTGACTAGAACCCAAAAACTAAAACTAATTCTCACCTGAATAAGAAAGGATTCTTCCATCCTGACTGCTTTTGAACTGGGACATCCAGTTTTTTCCTACTACTGGACTTGAACTGAATCATTAGTTCTTCCTGGGTCTCCAACCTGCCGGTCTTTGAAGTGGGATTATAGTACTTGCTCTTCTGGTTCTCAGGCTTTTGGACTAAAACTAAACCATTAACTCTCCTAAATCTCCAGCTTGCCAATTTTCCTTGAAGATCTTGGGACTTTCCAGACTCCATAACACAGCCAATTCCTTATAAGTATTTTTGTCTACAAATGTGTGTCTGTATATATAATCTATTTATTTATCTTGTCTCTCCTTGTTCTTCCGTCCTTTCTCCCTCTTATTGATTGTTTCTCTGGAGAACCCTGATCACTGATTAACATTTATACTTATTCTTCATTCTACATTTTGAATTGGACCACAGACTAGGCCTTAAGCAGGAATTACTATATATTTAACTGTATAATAAGAACAGACTGATGTCTGTTGTCTTCTAAGCCCATAGCTAATTTGAATTTTGCTGTGTTTTCTTATGGCCTCAGGACTAAGAATGATTTTTTCACACACTGTCTTTTTTTTTTTTTTTTTGAGAGGTTTTGCTATAGGGTGCGTGCGCTCACCAGAAAGACAAAGAGACAGAGGAATAGAAAGTGAGAAATCACCCCCCAGGGGGGTGGCCACGCAGCAATCCCTTCTCCTCCATTTTCCTCTCTGGATCTTGGGCATGCATGCACACGCGCCCAGTGTGAGTTTAAGCCACTGGGTCTGGGACTCAAACCGTGGTCAACTACATGGGAATTCAGTAGCATACCATTATGCTAACTGCTGGTCCCAATTTCTTCACATTCTTAAAGGGTTAAAAAGAAAAAGAAGACCGTATGTGTATGTATGTGAATATGTATGTGATCTCCAAAGCCTAAAATATTTACTCTTTTTAGAAAAAAAATTGCCAACCTCCATCTCAGAGTAACTACTAATAAAGCTTCCTTTCACTCTCAAAAGTGTCTTTGTTTGGATGTTACACTATGAACACTTATCTTCATGTGAATGGTATCCTTCACAGCTCTTTGAAAGGTTCAGCTGAAAGCTTTTCTTAATATATAGATTGATTTTTGACCCACTTGAGTTTGCATTTTCCTCCTGTACTTGCCATTCAGAGGGAGCTATCTATAGCTAAGATCTTGTGTTATCCCTCCACCTTCTTCCTGTCATGGCTAGAAATGTTTTAGGTAGAGAAATAATTTACTATACTTTTTCCCCATCTTTGTTTGCTTGCTTATTTTGTGTATGTCCCTGAATTCATGTTGTGTCCTTTGATACCTGCTTAGAAGTACAAAGGATAAGTTCAGACTGAAGAAGATGAGTAAGGAAATGATCCAGGCCCAACACTGATTAGACCTCAAGGTAAAATACCAGGATCATTTACTTGTTACCAATTGGCAAGCATTAGATTGGGAAGCATGGAGATCAGTAAAGAGCAGGCTTATGATGAAATTGGTTCTAACCAGATAAATATACAAAGGACTTCAAAAATTTTATGGAAAAGGGGAGTAAAAGTATGAGTTTATTTTGGTGCAAAGAAATTGAAATTTGGATTGACAGGTGCCGTGGTGGTTGGGGCACTACTCCCACATGGCCGACCATGGTTTGAGTCCTGTACCTGGTGGCTTACTTTCTCATTTTCATTCTTTCTCTCTCTCTGGTCAAATAAAAAAAATAGTAATAAGTAAATAATTTTTAAAGAAGAGAAATTGAACTTCATGCACAGTTTCTCATAATGTACATTTACATGAACTTTAGTATTTGATAGCAACTTTACAATTAGTAGAAATAGAATTAGTAGAGTGACCGTAATTGCCTAGTGTTATGTGTCACCAGTAATAAATCCTGTCTTGTTTGAGGGTAGGATCAGCGAGACTGAAAACATGAGTAAGACAACTCCAATAAAGCACTGCACAGGGTTTATTACAGGGTAAACTTACATGTGGAAAGGGTTAGGAAGATGGTGACCTGAATGCACTCACAGCTTCAATCCCTCGTTTGCTCTGCTATACTATGTACTCCATCCTCTGCTGCCACCCTGCAATTGCCCTGAAACTGCCCCACCTTGAAGCAAGCTGGGACTTTTAAAAGGAATTCAACCTGCATGTAGTTTGGGAGCATGTTTGCCCTGTGCTCCAAATCAATCTGTCTAAATAGCGGTCAGCGGGATTGGAAAGGGACCACGGCTTGTTATACAGCATGGAAGGAAGAAATGGAGGACAAGCAAGATATCACCAGTCTTTAAGAAATAAGGGTAGAGGGAACCAGCAATTAGCATAATGGCTATGTCGCTGGACTCCCACATAGTCGACCACAGTTCGCGTCCCAGACCCGGTGGCTTAGAACTCACGCCGGGCGCGTGTGCGTGCGTGCCCAAGATCCCAAGAGGAGAATGGAGGAGAAGGGATTGCGGCGTGACCATCCCCCCCGAGGGGTGATTTCT